GGGGCATGGTCTGCCTTGCTACAAATTTAGAGGAGTCAATCAACAAAAAGGGAACTCACTAAAAATAAAGTTTTCCTTTCCCCTCCTCACTTGCCTTACATAATCAAGATGAGTATCACACCGTGGGGACTCCTGGAGACAGCGAAATGGCTCTCTGCAGCTAGCCAAAATGTGTTAATTAATTTAGCTTTCACTGAGATTTGTTATGCTCATTTATTCAGAACTTTTGAACATTCAACATGAAACTACATGATAATTAAATAGCTGTCAACACAATTTTATTTACACTTGTCATTCACACCCTCCAAACCTCATCAGGCCACTGGTTGGCCTGCATTCAACGAGGCATAAAGGAAATATGTTCCTGCTCTCAAGGAGTTTTTCATCTTGGAAAACACTTGGATGCACACCAAAATGAGATGCACCTCAACAGAGAAATCTATGAAATACTTGCCTTTGAATCACCAGAAGGCCTCCAAGTTTTATTTTACTTTCATATTTCAGTTTTAAACACTTTTTTTTTTTTTTTTTTTGAGACAGAGTCTCGCTCTGTCGCCCAGGCTGGAGTGCAGTGGTGCATCTCAGCTCCCAGCAAGCTTTGACGTTCCATTCAGTCATGGGAATTTTTCCAATGACTAGTTTCCCTGCTTAAATTTCAGCTCAAAGGTGCCCAGACACATGCAAGGTTGTTTGAGTGCGGGATGGCAATAATGTTCTCTCCATTTGGATACAGCTATTTATAAATTGTGATCCAGTTTTAAAAGGAACCTCCTGCTTTGCTTCAATTTCAGTGTCTTTCATGTTGTTGAGTTGCTAGAATTGCTTCTTTTAATATATATATATTCTTTGGAGATGGAGACTCACTGCAACCTCCACCTCTCGGGTTCAAGTGATTCTCCTGCCTCAGCCACCCAAGCAGCTGGGATTACAGCCACACGCCACCATGACCAGCTAATTTTTGTATTTTTAGTAGAGACGGGTTTTCACCATGTTGGCCTGGCTGGTCTCCAACTCTTGACCTCAGGTGATCCACCCGCCTCAGCATCCCAAAGTGCTGGGATTACAGGCATGAGCCACTGTGCCCCGCCTAGAATTGCTTCTTTACTTAAATTTCAGGGAGTTATTAAAGTTGTTATATCTTTTGTCTACATTAGAATTTTCATCCAATAGCACTAGAACATGATGCTGCCTGAGTTTAACACTTGATCCTATTTTTTTTTTCCCAATAATCTTTCTGTCTGCCATCAAACTGAGGCAGACATTATATAGTGACCAAAGCAACCTGAAAGTAAAGAAGAAAACGAGGAGAAAGAATACTATTCCACTTCTACATATCAAATCCTGGCCTTGTCTGCTCTTCTAAAACCTAAGGCCCATCACCAGTTGCCTCCTTCTTAATTTTTCAACCTAATCTTGGGTGACATCCTCAAACGAACCTTCTGTTCCAACTACATTTCTCTACCTATTTAGGTTGGCGCAAAAGTAATTGCGGTTTTCGCCATTACGTTACAAAACCTCAATTACTTTTGCATCAACCTAATATTTTTCTTCTCTCTTTTTGGAAGGAAAAAAAAGACCCTGATCAGTTACTAGTCTGTAGAAATATGACACCCAAATTCCTGCTTCCAAGCCTCCCTTGATACCATTCTGAAATTCTCTCACCTCCTCAACTAAGTCTTCCTTCTCCTTCAATTGGAATTCGAGATCCTTTCGTCCATGAAGCCCTTTGAAATGCCCTTAACTTCAGTTTACTCTCTCTTCCAAACTCTTATCATGTATATTATCCATTCTCTTATGGCCATTGAACACGCAATCGATGCTTTGTAATAGACATAGAATACTTCTAGCAGGGGAACACTTTTTTCTCCTTGCTCATCATGAGACAACCCAGAATTAAGGCAGGTCTTGGTTAATAATGCCTGAGGTTTGCTCAGGGACATTCTGACTTGTCTTTAGCTGTTTTCAGGCAGCATTTTGCTAAGCAATGGAGTTTGCTTAAATTTCACCCTAACCTGAATTAAGTTGCTTTAACTGAATCAAGCAGTGGCCCTCGGGGGAGTGAGGGGAGTTTCCTAATCCTAAATTAATGGTTTGAAAAGTTCTGTACAAAGAATCCTGTTGTATTTGCGTCTAAACACTGTAATATTGACAGAATTATGTCATTAAAATAGTCGGTGCTTTTAAAACGTCTCTCTTTTGTTGTGCTCTCAACTTTCCTTGTTTCTAGAGACCAGGACATAGTCTTAGAATTGCAACTAGTACAAATCATCATCATACAGATAAAATGAGCAATATACAGAAGTCCCTCTCACCACCAAAGAAACGTTAGCTATGCAAGGCAAGAGCTGTCTCTCTAAACAGAGAGGGGAGACCAGTAAAACCAGCCCAGTGTCTTGTGATTTCTCCAGGTTTCCCGGTTTTAAAGCCCAGGTTTAAAAAGCTACCGCTGAGAGGGATCAGGTTACATCTCCTGGCTGCCAGAGAACCTTACACTTAACCCTTCCCAATCCTTGACCTGGATGTTGCACTCCCATTTCACTTCCTAGAAAGGGTATCTTCTATCCATGTATGCCTCCCTATGTTCTATTCCCTACATACGAGCAACTGGCCAAAGCCCCAGATGAAGCTTCCTGTGGCCACACTACGTTCCATGCCTCATCTCTGGTGGCCTGTCTGTGCTGAGAGCAGAGACCTTGCATATCATATCCTCCGTGTGTAACACGGTGTGCAATTCATAGTGAAGGTTCAGTGTTTGTTCAATGAATGATTGTGTACCTTCTGACGCCTACGTCAGCAATAAGAAAACTGCTGACTATCTTTTTTTTGTTTGTTTATCAAGGGCATAAACCTTGCCCAAGATCCTTAAGTTGTCAAGGGTCTAGAGATTGATTAATTCATTCATCCATTGACTCATTCATTCATTTGTGCACCATTCCCTAGACATCTTTGAGGGCCAGTTGTTTGTTTTTTTGTTGTTGTTGTTTTTTTGAGACGGAGTCTTTGCTCTGTCGCCCAGGCTGGAGTGCAGTGGCGCCAACTCGGCTCACTACAAGCTCCGCCTCCTGGGTTTACGCCATTCTCCTGCCTCAGCCTCCCGAGTAGCTGGGACTACAGGCGCCCGCCACCTCGCCCGGCTGGTTTTTTGTACTTTTAGTAGAGACGGGGTTTCGCCGTGTTAGCCAGGATGGTCTCGATCTCCTGACCTTGTGATCCGCCCGTCTCGGCCTCCCAAAGTGCTGGGATTACAGGCGTGAGCCACCGCACCCGGCCGGGCCAGTTGTTTTTTAATGAACCAAGAATGAGGATGAGAAATTACTTAATGGGTATAACGTATACTATTCAGGTGACAGCCACACTAAAAGCCCAGACTCCACCACTACCCGATATACCCATGTAACAAAACTGCAGTTTTGCCCCTTACATTTATACAAATAAAAAACAGGCTGGGCACGGTGGCTCATGTCTGTAATCCCAGCACTTTGGGAGGCCAAGGCAGGTGAATCGCTTGAGCTCAGGAGTTCAAGACCAGCCTGGGCAACATGATGAAACCCCATCTCTACCAAAAACACAAAAAGTTAGCCAGGTGTACTGAGAGGCTAAGGTGGGAGGATCACCTGAGCCTGTGAGGTCGAGGCTGCAGTGAGCTGTGATCACACCACCACCACTCCAGCCTGGGTGACAGAGTGAGACCGTATCTCAAAACCAACAACAACGAAGAATGGGGAAAGGATTTTAGACATTTTTATTTAGGGATCTAATATTCCTGACTAAATCCAAGGATTCTCTCTGAAAGTCAGGGACATTCTCTTCAGAAGGCGTGGTGTAAAGAGATGGATAGGTAGAATCTCTTCCTATAATCCTCTTGCAGCTAATTGCCAGACAATTTACATGAGCATGTATAACAGTATCTGTAGAAAGTAAATACATGATCCTGGATATTTGTGTACCAGAAGGGAGTGAAATGCATGGTTAAGAGCACAAATTTTGGTATCAAACAACCTGAGTTCAGTTCTCAGTTCTGCTTCTAAGTATGGGAGTGAATTTAGGGGCATAAGGCCCATGTTCTGGAAGAATCTAGGAAGCAGCTGGATGGGCATTAAGGAATTAAACTCTTGAATGCCCCTTGAACAATCACTTTTATGAGGGAATGCTTTTGAGTACTCAGTGCTGCCCTGAGAGCCGCTTCTCAGCTGGAAGCAGTTGGAAACCGATAATCTCAGCCTTAGATTCTAGGGGGTCTGTCAAGGCTGTCATTTTATGTTATCACTTCAAGGTTCAGCATGCAGAACAATTTCTTAGCCATCATGAAATGTTTCCTGGTAGCCAGCTCAGGCTCTACAGATATACCACCCTAACTCTTCCAGTAAAAGAAAGCCATTTTCAGAAAAACAGAACTTCCTCCAGAGGTTTTATAGTCAAAGGTACCAAAAACTGATGCGTCTCTTGTGTTTTTCACTTGGTGGAGAGAAGCCACAGGGTTGCAATTTCGGATACACTTGTCTCTAGAAAATAGAACTTGTCTGGGAGGGGATTTAGAGCAAAGATGGAAGAGGAGGCCTCAATTTTACAAAGAAGGATGGTGGAAAGAAGAGAAGGGAAGAAAATCATTCCTGATCATTCACTGAGCACTTACAAAGGCCCATCAATGGCATGGGGGTGGGGGGGTCCGCACCTGCCATCACAGAAGGGGGCTGCTGTTTAAATGTTTGTCTTCATGACTGTTGACAAAAAGAGTCCAACTGTAAAATATTTCAAGAGATTTGTTCTGAGCCAAATATTAGGACCGTGACCCATGACAGAGTCCCAGTAGGCCCTGAGAACATGTACCAAAGGTAATGGAGATGCAGTCTGGTTTTATACATTTTAGGGAGACATAAGACATCAATCAATACAGGTAAGGTGTAGATGGGTTCAATCTGGAAAGGTGTAGATGGGTTCAGTGGGACAACACAAAGTGGGGTGGGGCAGGGGATTGTTAGGTCATAGGTGGATTCAAAGATTTTCTGATACAGATGAAGCCTCCAGGTAGCAGGCTTCAGAGAAAATAGATTGTAAATGTTTCTTATTAGACTTAAAAAGATGCCAGACTCAGGTAATTATCTCCTGGATCAAGGAAAAGAACTGGAAAGGGAAGGGGATTCTCTACGGAACGTAGATTTTCCCCACAAGAGACAGCTTCGCAGGGCCATTTCAGAATATGTAAAAAAATATACTTCAGTTTCTTTCAGGGTCTGCTATTTGTCATGTTGGTATCTTATTACTGCAAAGAGTCTGTTTTGTCAGTCTTAAGTCTCTTTTAATGTTTGTTGGTTTGTTTGCTTTTGAGACAGAGTTTCACTCTTATTGCCCAGGCTGGAATGCAATGGCTCAATCTTGGCTCACTGCAACCTCCACCTCCCAGGTTCAAGTGATTCTCCTGCCTCAGGCCTCCTGAGTACCTGGGATTATAGGCATGCACCACCATGGCCGGCTAATTTTGAAATTTTAGTAACGATGGGGTTTTGCCATGTTGGTCACGCTGGTCCCAAACTCCTGACCTCGGGCGATCCAACCGCCTCGGCCTCCCAAAGTGCTGGGATTACAGGTGTGAGCCACCATGCCTGCCCTGTTTTAATGTTGATGCTGGTCAGTTGTGCCTGAATTCTCAAGGAAGGATGGTATAATGAGGCGTATCTGACTGCCCCTTTCCCATGATGGGAACTAGTTTTTCAGATTAACTTTGAAATACTCTTGGCTGGGAGAAGGGGTCCATTCAGTTGGTTGGAGGACTTAGAATTTTATCTCTGATCTACATGACTAAAAATTGACATTCTGTGATTTAACAAACCACACACTTCTGCAAGCTTCAATTTTGCTATCTATAAGATGGAAATAATACCTAAAACAGGATTCGGCAAGCTTTTTCTGAAAAGGACTAGATAGTAAATATTTTCAACTTTGTGGGTCATGCAGTGTCTGTCACAACAACTCAACTATGCAATTATAGCATGAAAGTAGCCATAGACAATACATAAAGCCACAGGCATGGGCAGATTTGGTCTGCAGGCCATAGCTTGTCATTGCCTAGTGTAATCCCCTGTTTTAATACACAGGGCATTGTGAAGATTAAATGAGCAAATCCAAGTAACATACCTTAGTGCAGCATGTGGCAGGTAAGTGCTCAATAAATATTAGCTATTAGCATGGTTGTGATCTTAGTCTCTCCCCTCTATAAGGGCTAACTGTGTTCACTTTAGTGAGTAAGGTAGTCCTTGGTGTTCCTCAGGAGATATTCCAACCTTCTCTCTCTTAGGCACGTGGTGAATGTCACAGATTGGGTTTTTGGAGAAGAACCCTGAGATGGAGTTTAGTGTACAGGATGCTTATTAACGAGTATCCTTGGGAACAACCCCGGTGGAAAGGAAAAGAGGGAAGCAGGACTGGGCAGAGGGAGAAGTCAAGTTGCCAAACAACAGGCTGAGCCAAATCCCAACACTGTCCCACACTGGGCTGAAAGGGCTGGGCCTTTCTACCCACACAGGAAGCATTCCCTGGATGTGGGCTGCCCTGGGAAGCATATGGCCTTGGGCGAGTAGCTCTGCACTTCTAGGCCCTCCTTGGAGGCGCCAACAGATGAAGCTTGTCTGTGACAACACGCCCAGCAACCCAAGCAATAAGCTAGTGGGAGAGAAAGATGTGACCAACTCTGACTGTGAACTACACACAGAAATAACACATCTCTTGCAGACCAAGCATTTAATTGTTATTTAAAGACCCTCCAAAGCTCCTTTCCCCTGTAGTGATTTCAAGATGGTGGCTGCTCGATGAGCCTGGGCCCCGAGGAATGACAGTGAGGAGAACCCCTCATCAACCAGTGCGATGGAATGTAGTATGAGCAAAACTTAAATCTGAGTTCTTTAAAGCCACTGAGATTTGGGGGTCGTTCGTTACTGCAGTATTGTGAGCTTTCTATTGTGTGTCATCAATAGCAGCATAGGAAGCTACGTTGGATGCTTTTAAATGATTTGAAGACGAGACACCTTATGACCTTAAACAATCAAGGAACTGGTTTCAAATCATCATCATCACTTCCAGCAGCGACATCATAGCTAACGTTAGCACTAACATGAATTTGTTACTGGAAAGGGGTCCTGCTCCAGACCTGAAGAGAGACCTCTCGGACCTCGAGCAAGAAAGAATTCAGGGCAAGTCCATAAAGTGAAAGCAAGCTTATTTGAGAAATAAACAAAAGAATGGCTACCCTATAGGCAGAGACATGGCATGGGCTGCTTGACTGAATATAGTTATTTCTCGACTATATGCTAAACAAGGGGTAGATTGTTCATAAGCTTTCCGGGGAAAGAGGTGGAGATTTCTTGGAACTGAGAGTCCCTCCCCTTTTTAGACTATGTAGGGTAACTTCCAAACGTTGCCATGGCATTTGTAAATTGTCACAGTAGTGATGGGAGTGTCTTTTAGTATGCTAATGCATTATAATTCGCATATACTGAGCAGTAAGGACAACTAGAGGTCACTTTCATCACCATCTTGGTTTTGGTGGGTTTTGGAGGGCTTTCTTATGACATCCGGTTTTATCAGTAGGGCGGTTGTGACCTGTATCTTGTGCTGATCTCCTATCTCATCCTGTGACTAAGAATGCCTAGTCTCCTGGGAATGCAGCCCGGCAGGTCTCAGTCTCATTTTACCCCTATTTAAGATGGAATTGCTATGGTTCAAATGCCTCTGATAAATTCACTAATTTAATGCTCAAACAACCTATGGATGACACAGGTATTATTATTTTCTACATTTTAGAGATGAAACAACTGATGCTTAAAGAGATTTATTAACTCGTACATAGCCAGGGTGTGCAATCTATAGCCTGAAGTTCAAATCCAGTTAAGTGCCTGTTTTTGTAAATAAAGTTTTGTTGGAACACAGCCATGCCCATTCATTACATATTACGTATTTATGGCTGTTTTCATGATACAGTGACTGAGTTGAGTAGTTGCATATGGCTTGCAAACCTCAAAATACAGTTGGCCCTCCATATGTGAGGGCTCCACTTTTGTGGATTCAACCAACCAAGAATCAAAAATATTTGAAAATAAAAATAAAAAAGCAATACAATAAAATAATATAAATTAAAAACAATACAACACCATAACTCTTTGCATAGCATTTACATGGTATTAGGTATTATAAGTAATCCAGAGATGATTTAAAGTATACGAGAGGACGTGCATAGGTTATATGCAAGTACTGGGCCATTTTGTATCAGGGACTCGAGCATCCATGGATTTTGTTACCCATGGGGTATCCTGGAAGGAATCCCCTATGCATATTGAAGGACAACTGTACTTACCATCCAGCCCTTTACAGAAAAAGTTTGCCCACCCTCACCCCTAGCAGTAGTAAGCGGCAGAGCCTGATTCCAAACCCAGGTTGTCTGACTCCAGAGACAACACTCATAACTCAGATATAAATAAACATTAGGTAGGCTTGGAACCCTGTTGGAATGTTATGAAACTTTTCTATTTCCATTTTCCTAATCATGTGTTTTTTTCATTTAAAAATTTCCTGATGTTTACTTCCAGCAATATGACAGAATCTATATCCTGAAAATTCTCCCCCAAAAAAGCACCTTTAAAATGCTGGATAAAATAAGTAGCTAACTTGGCAAGAAATTAAAGTATCTTAATCCCCAGAGGCCAAAAATGAAGTCGGAAGCCAGAATTCAGAATGAGCATGGTAAATGTTCACTGGAGCAGGCATCAGACCCTGAGGGCATTTGCCAGTGTTTTGTAAATTAGAACTTTCAGTTTTTACATCCATGTCGGGGGAAGGGGGGACAGGAGAGGCAGGCGACAAAGCAGTGCAGTGTCAGCATGGAGACTTTGGAATGAGTCCCCAAAGGCCCACATTCCCAATAAAAGAGTGAACTAGAAAATATTTGCCATGCAAAGGAAATAGCAAAGAAAATTTTGCATGTTAACCTTGATTTTGGTTGGAAGAAAAAATAAGAGTCCCTACCCCCTACCAGAAGTTATAATCACCAGTCAGGCCTCAAGTCTGGGTTCAAATTCACTCTGTGTACCTATTCTGAAACTATTTTAAATAAACAAACCAAAAAAAAATTTTTTTAAATGACCAGGCACTTGGCAAAGGTAAACACAAATATAAGGAATGTTCTCCAATTCAAGCCTCATAAAATTCTCACAACTAGTGCCTCAACAAAAATGAGCTCACAATTTTTATAAAATCACAAGACCACCCATGTAGTAAGACATCATCAGACAGGGTTAGAAACATCAAACAGTAGAATCAGACATTCAGGCTTTGGGTTGGAATTATCACATAGAGCAAGGTTAGCAAACTTTTCTCTAAAAGGCCACATAGTATACATTTTAGGCTTTGCAAGCCATACAGTCTCTGTCAAAAACACTCAGCCTTGCTATTCTAGTATAAAAGCAGCCATGGGCAGTATGCAAATGAATGGGCTTGCCTGTGTTTTAATAAAACTATATTTACAAAAACTGAGAGTGTGCCAGAAAACCATACCTTATAAATAAATGTTTTCTATATTTAAAGAAAGCTTTAAAACATTAGCAAGGAACAAAATACTCTTAGAAACATCGAAAAAGATTCTTAACTTCTGAAAGTAAAATAGTTGAATTTTAAAATTCAGCATATGAGTTGACTAACAAATTAGAAATGAAATGTATAATTAATAAATTGAAAGTTGGATAAGACAAAACTACTTAGAATATAGTTCAGAGAGAGAAAGAGAAGGATATCATGATATAGACATGAAAGTAAGTGAGAAGTGTTAACATTAATCTAATGAAAGTTCCAGAAAGAGTGACTAGAGAAAATGAGATGGACACAATATTCAATCATTTGTATGGTTCCTTATATTTAGGAAGTACAAAAAATTCTAAAGAATATTCACACCCAGACTTATCCTGGTGAAATGAAAGAACATTAAAGACAAATTTAATAGCTTAAAAACAGCTAGAGAAAAAGACAGCTTTCCTGTTTTACATCTAACTTCTTATGAACAGAGCAGAAAGCAAAAGATTACAAGATGATGTCTTCAAAGTGCTGGGAAAACTGTTTCAATTTACAATTGGATACCCAGTAAAACTTATCTTTCATGAGGATGCAATAGAATATATTTAGGTGAACAAAAGCCAAGATAATTTACTATGGACAGATTCTTAGTAAAGGAACTTCCTGAGGATATATATACTTTGGAAAGAAGGATATATATACTTCTCCAGAAAGGAGATGTGAGCTGTAAGTTGTAAGAAAGATAACCATGTGATCAAAGACATTTGTAGTCACATGGATACATCTAAATAAATATCAACACTAATAAATCTAATTTGGGAAGTTATAAAAGTCAGAGGTTGGGAGAGATGAGCTTCTAAAGCAGAGGTCATATTCTATTTCTTAAAATGGTAAATATATGAATGTATGTGTGTGTGTGTGTGTGTGTGCAAACATGCACACACACACATGCATATTGTAAACTTTTCTATATATGACACATTTCACAAGATTTTTTAATAGAAAGAAAATACTGGACAATACTAGCTTATAAACTGAGAAAGAGTTAAAATACTCTAAGTTTTAGGAGGAGGGTGAATCTAATTAATAACTTTAACCATTAAAAAATTAGAATCTATACATTCCAAAATATTAGAGGAGAAAAAAATGGAGTAGGAATTTCACCGACTAGAAAGTGTAAAAAGATGGTAAAAATAAATCCAAATATATCAATGATCATAATTAAATAAAAAAGAATTACACTTATCAGCTAAAAGATAGTTAATTTTTAAAAATCCAACCATATTCTTCTTACAAGAAACACATGTGAAACAGAAGTACACCAAATGTTTGAGAGTAAAATAATGGGAAAAGCTACATTAAGGGAAGTGAATTTTTCCAACAAGCAAAAAATAACTTCCTGTTTGCTTTCAGATGTAACCACTGAATCCTCATACAAAGGATATGTTAGTTTCATATATCATAATGAAACTAAGAAAAGAAATAAATGTAAAGAGAGAAATCAGGAAAAAAAAAAAACCTTAGGTTAAGGATTAATATTCTCTGACAAATCTAAAAATCTGAAAAAGCAGGTCCACCCGTGCTATACCCATGGAATTCA